CACCTACAAAACCTTCAACACCTCCAACACCTACAAAACCTACAACACCTTCAACGCCTCCAACACCTACAAAACCTTCAACACCTCCAACACCTTCAAACCCTCCAACGCCTTCAACACCTTCAAACCCTCCAACGCCTTCAAGCCCTCCTAAAGCCACTTGCCCGACAGACACTCTCAAATTGGGTGTGTGTGCTAACTTGCTCAACAACCTTCTCCCTATAGTCATCGGAAACCCATCAGAGACACCATGTTGTTCCCTCCTTTCCGGCCTCGCAGATCTTGACGCTGCAGTCTGTCTTTGCACTGCCATTAAAGCTAATGTCTTGGGAATCAACCTCAACGTTCCTGTCTCATTGAGCGTGTTGCTTAACTACTGTGGAAAGAAGTCCCCATCCGGCTTCCAATGCACCTAGATTCTTCTGAAAGCTTATAACTATAGATTGTTGTATTTTGGAATACGTTTTTTTATGTTCAATATGATGTAAAGAATCAATTACGATATGATTCAAGAATAAAGCTGTGTACTATATTTTGAAATTTTAGTGACTATTACAAAATATCAATTCCTAAAAGCTCCTAACATAATAAATAAATAAATGTGATTACTATACTTAATTTACAATAGAATAAATTTTGAAGTTACGGTACTTTATAATTCTTCAAGAATGTGAAGCTTATATATTATAATAAGAATAAGAATCTATAACACGATATATAATTAATTATATCGAACCATGACCCAAAGAAATAAAAATAAGAAAGTTGATGAATTTTTTTTGCAGCAGCAAACACATAGTGTATATAAAATAAGATTAATTTAGCGGGAAATAAACCTGTTTAAATACTCGATGAATAAAATATAAAACGAATATTTGGGGTTTAGGTTTTGGTTGTCTGTTTTGTGTAGTGGGATGATGAGTCAGCAAGAAAAGAACAAGCAAATGTGACAAATGGTATGGTGATTCTGAGATTCAGGACTCCGATGCTCAATCACTGGTGATATTTATATCGAGAGATCGCTTTCTTTTCTCTGGACATTTTTGCGAAAATCAGGAGGAACAGCAACAATTTATTTCGTAAGGTCAGTTAAATTTCTATGCAGTCTTTCCTTCTTTTAGGTTCTTACAGTTCAAATCTATTTCCATTTTACTTCATCGTTGAACTTTCGTAATCACATTTAAACTCTTACGATTTGATCACAACAACATTAGATTTTCCTTTCTCCGAATTCTAATTCAACTTCATATCTTTAAAGCAACATTGAAATTCTACTGCTTTTGCTTCCAGTCTTCCAGACCTAACAAGGTAATTAAACCATATGGAATTCTTCAATATACTCAAGATATATTGGGTTTTGTTGATCATCTGCTTGATATCTAAATTGGGTCATGGGTTTTATCACCCTGGTAGTTATCCTCCCACATATGTCAAAGGTGAGCCATTATCTGTGAAACTCAGCTCTTTGACTTCAATTGATACAGTAATCCCTTATAGCTACTATAGTTTACCCTTCTGTAAACCCCCAGAAGGCGTGAAAGACATTGCTGATAATCTTGGTGAGCTTCTGATTGGTGATTGGATCCAAAACTCGCCTTATAACTTTCATATGTACACAAATGAAACCGAGATCTTTCTTTGTCAAACAAAATCGTTATCTAGTGACGAGTATAAGCTGTTAACGAACAGGATTGAAGAGCTATATCAAGTTAATTTGTTCCTTGATAATTTGCCAGCCATTCGGTATGTTACTGATTACCCGAGGTGGACTGGGTACCCAATAGGTCTCAAGTTTTCTGATTCATATTATGTGTATAATCACTTGAAGTTCACAGTTTTGGTTCACAAGTACGAAGAGATGAATGTTCCTCATAAATACATGGTTGTAGGATTTGAGGTGGATCCTTGCAGTGTTAAACATAACCCCGAGACATTAAAAAATTTGAAACGTTACAGTAAGTATCCATCTAAGATTGATTGTGAGGATAGCATAGTAGCTTTAAAGGAAAACGAGCCCATAGCATTCACGTATGAAGTCACATTTATCGAAAGTGACATCAAGTGGTCATCAAGATGGGATTCTTACATGAAAATGGATGGAGCAAAAGTAGACTGGTTTTCAATCGTCAATTCACTCATGATCATCACTTTTTTAGCTGGAATCATTCTTGTGATCATTTTGAGAACAACAGTTAAACGGGATTTGTCAAATTTGAAAATTGTTGTAGTGGATGTCTTCCGTTCTCCTAGCAATCCCATGCTTCTTTGTGTAATGGTGGGAAATGGGATCCAGATTCTTGGAACGACGGTTTTAACCATCATTTTTGCCGCAATGGGATTCATGTCTCCGGTGTCCCGTGGCACTTTAGTCACCGGAATTTTAATCTTTTACATGTTCCTCGGAATCTTGGCTGGATATATCGCCGTACGTATGTGGCGGACAATCTTTTCCGGCGATCATAAAGGATGGGTTTCAGTTTCTTCGAAAGTTGCTTGCTTTTTCCCGGGTATCACTTTCTTGATTTTTTTTGTTCTAAATTTCCTCTTATGGACTTCACAAAGCACTAGAGCTATCCCGTTTTCGTTATTCGTAACCCTAATACTACTCTGGTTTTGCATTTCGGTTCCTTTATCGCTTCTTGGTGGTTACTTTGGTGTAAAGGCGCCTCATATTGAATACCAGATTAGAACCAATCAAATTCCTCGTGAAATCCCTGCTAAAAAGTACCCATCTTGGGTTCTAGTTCTTGGTGCTGGAACTCTTCCATTCGGTACCCTTTTCGTGGAGATCAACTTCATCATGTCTAGCATCTCTATGGATCGTGTGTACTATATTATAGGGTTCATGTTCGTTGCTTGGATCCTTCTAGTAATGGTTTGCGCTGAGGTGTCATTGGTTTTGACCTACATGCATCTTTGTGTTGAGGACTGGAAATGGTGGTGGAAATCTTTTTTTGCTTCTGGGTCGGTGGCATTGTATATATTCTTGTACTCGATATACTATCTCATTTTTGAACTCATGAGCCTAAGTGGACCAATCTCGATTTTACTCTACATTGGTTACTCACTCTTGATGGTCCTAGCCACCATGCTAGTGACAGGCACCGTTGGGTTTCTTTCTTCTTTTTGGTTTGTGCATTACTTGTTCTCGTCTGGGAGGCTTGATTGAAAGAACTAAGAAGTCGATGGGGTTGCTTTCTAGAAATTCAAAATTTTCTTTTCTGTTCTGTAGTTTCTATATTATACTTTGATAGCAAAAACTTAGTTACTACATATGAAATTAAAGGACTAGATGGATGATAGGTAGTTTGAATGTTGGTGTCATGTATTGTTGATTGTATGAATTTCAATGAAATCCAGGTTCCATTTTATGTTGGTGTTGTGTAGGGCTGTAAACGAACTGAACGTTCATCGAACTATTCATTAACCGTTCAGCGGGAAGTTCGTTTTTATAATAAATGAATAAATATGAACACAAATTCTCGTTCGTTTAGTTAAACGAACGAACATGAACAATGGTCTCGTTCGTTCGATTATGTTTGTGAACGTTCGTTTATGTTGTTCATTTGCGTTCGTTTATGTTCGTTTATATAAGTTTCTTTTATGTTCATATATGCTTAATTGTGTTTGATTACATTACTATATTATATGTTCGTTTATGTTTATATAAGTTCAATTATGTTTGTTTATCTTTGTTCATTTATGTTCGTTTGTTTATGTTCGTTTAGCATGTTCACGAACATAAATGAACGAACATGAACAATATAATTTGTTAAACGAACGAACATGAACAAGAAAACTCGTTCGTTTATCCGTTCGCGTTCGTTTATTTGTTCGACTAACTTAAACGAACGAATATGAACAAACACTCATTCGTGTTCGTTCGGTTCGTTTACAGCCCTAGTGTTGTGTATATATACAACTAAAAGACTAGACAATAGTCTGGATAAGTTTGATAGGTCCAGACCTTGAATTTCGGAGGACGAGAATGCAACCGGAGACTCAGTGAAATATCAAGAATCAAGACAAAAAGGGAGAGTTTCAATAGGAGAGACAAGCAAATGTTTGTATTTTTCTTTGGATAAAGTTAATTTCATTAAATTGTTAGTAGATTTTAGAATTTACAATTATATTTTGATTTTTTGATTTTCATTAACTATCTTCATGATTAAATTGACTTCAAGATTACAATCAAATATTACATTGGGCATATAAGAAACGGACGACTAATTTTATTTATATATTTTACGAAAATACCAACACCATAACTATATATATGTCCCAAAATTCGGAGGTTCCCTAAAAACGGAGGCCTCATGCGACCGCACCTCCTGCACACCCTCGTGGCCACCATTGATTTTGTAATGGAGTGATTGTATATCTGATTATATATCATGAAGAAATTTTTTTCTGTTGATAATTTATTCAAGTTCCATATTTAGTCATTTTTTTGCAATAAATTTCGGCTTGTATCTCTACAAGTTGGTGTTCTGAAGTAGATCAGTTAATTGACTAATCATTTGGGTATTTTGCCATTGAAGATGGAGCTACACACAACTAGTTTAGTAAGGTTTAATAGAGGCTCTTGCAGGCAAAACACCCTCTTAGGTTTAAGGGACAATATTTGTCAAGGCTAATAAAAGTTTAAAAAGAAGAAGATCCAAATCTACTAAAAAAGATTGGGGGAATAAAATCTTTCTTTCGTTGAGTTATGAGAGTTAGATTGCTTTTTTCTCTTGTCTTTAACGAGTGGGTCTAACTCGGCCTCTCAACTTTTCAAACCTTTCTTCTTTTGTATTTTTTCTGAAAAATTGAATTTTATAAAAACACATCAACTATCATGAAAACTTGCATAAAAACCAATTATACGGAGTCATAGAAAAGATGGTTTTGCCAGCATTGAGTCCTAAGTTATACCATTTTTACTAAATCTATTCGGAAAAAAAATCAAAAGAGTGAATTGTTAGCATAATAAGTTATTTAGCTCTTTTTTTATTAGGTCTTATGTTTTGTCCATTAGCTAGGTTCACCCTATATAACTTTCCTATTAATAGTCTTATTTACATTTCTTTCTCTTCACAGTTTTCTATCAATAATGTAACGCTATCCGTTTTCTATCTATACAATTTTCTATCATCAATGTAACCTTAGGTATTTTCTCTCCATATTATTATTAGTTTTTGTAGATTGTTATTAGTTAGATGGTATCAGAGTTAGAGTTGTGTTCGATCAGTCTTTTACGATTGTTATGTTTTTCGGATTCGTTTCTTTATTTCTTTTGGTTTGATTTGTTCGAATTTGTTGTTTTGAGGGTATTGTTGTTGTTATTTCGTCACTCTCTGGTTTGATTTGTTCGTTTGCCTTTGATTTCCTGCCGTGATTTGTTATATCACGCCGCAAAAATACATTTTCATCGATATTTTTGTCGCAATTTGTGAATCTCGCTGCGATCTTAGGTATGATTCCTGATTTGTTTCGTTATTTCTTTTGGTTTGATTTGTTTGAATTATTTGTTTTGCTTGGCTTGGTTGAATTATTCGTTTGTTGCTGTTTTCCTTATTTTAGTTATTGTTGTTTTCCTATTTTGCGCACCGAATTTGGGCTCCTTGCGCCGTAATTTGGATTGTTTATATTGGTTTGATCCGTTTCGTGCTTTCATTTGTTCGATTTGCTTTTTTTTTTTTTCCGATTTATAATGTCGCGATACAACTGTCTTCGATTAGAGTTGATTTGTTTCGATTTTGGTTCTATCCATTTCGTGTCGTTATTTGTTCGATTTGCTATTTCGCCGTTTCTTGCGTTGTGATTCTACTTGGTTCGATTAGGTTTGATTCGTTTTGCTGTTTATTCGTTTTGTCGATTTCTCGCCACAATGATCAAAATCGCGCCGCAATCTTTCTTCAGAAAGCATTTTTTGTTCGTCTTGGTTATTTTCCGAAGCTCTTGACAATCTTGGTCGTCGAAAGTTTCCTACTCTTGTTATTCTTAACGTTTTCGGTTGAATTCATGTTTTTTTCGTTGATTTTGAAAGTTTCTTAAAAGAAGTTTTTTGTTTTACTTTTGCAAGAATTCCACTTCATGTTAAGAACAATTATAATGCTTTCGTCTTATCTTCTTGTTACAAAAATGGGTTTTTAAGAGTGTGAACGGTTTTCTATTTATGCTTAGTGTTATGAAAAATATAGATGTAGTGCTTCATTTGATATTATTAAAAAATCAGATTTTTTTAAGTTTTGGTAAATTTAGTTTCAGCTTCCGCTTCCGCTAGTATCATTGGATCCATATTATCTTCAACAATATTTGATATGGTTTTTTTTAGCATTTCTTGTTTCAGTTCGCCTTCTTTGTTTGTTTCCGGTTATAACTTCCATTTTTTTTGGTGATAAAAGTATTTGATTCGGTTTTGTGTTCATTTGGTCGTATTCTCTTATGTTCTAGTTTTATTTTGCATCTCTATTTTCCTTTTATTTTTAGTTTTTTTTCGTTAGATTTTTTTTTGCTTTTGTATCGGTGTTGCTCCTATTTAGCAAACTCTCAATGCTTATTGCTCAAGCATTGTGAGTTTGAGGGAGGGAAAGAGAATAAACAGGATTGGGTTCATTAGTTTAGTATGATGCAAATTTGCATATTGAGTTTTCTTTGTTGTGATGTTTCCGCTAGTATATTTGGGGTTCGTTTATCTGGCTGCAGAAATGCAGATTTGGTTTTGGCTGCTTTCATGTAAATTGTTTTGTTTTAGCTGATTTAATGCAGATTGTTTGGTTTTTACTGCTTTCATACAAATTCTTTTGATTTGGCTGCTTTCATGCAGATTGTTTTGAGTTACTAAATCTATATTACGCTTAAAACATTGAACAATGGTCAAGAAGAGAAATTCTAAAACTCAAATAAAATGAGCATATACCTAATTGTAATATCAAGACCATACTTGTGAAGGTAGTAAAGTTGAAAAACCTTTGTAATATGATGTTGTATTAGGGGAGGTTGTGATAATCTTAAGAAATTACGATACTTGAAGTGGGAAAGTGGGTTTTTGTGACAAAGGTGAGTCAATCATTTTTACAACCTTGGGAATATGCAATTCTTGACAATGAATCGATTGATCTGAATTAGTCTAGCTTGTGTGTGATATGTCATGTTTATGTTATGTGCTAGAAATATGTTCTGTGGGTGTGGTGTGAACTTTAGGGTGTTATTTATGCTAGATGGTATTTATGATGATATGTTATGATAAGTGTTGTTAAACCCATGATAGATGCTAGACTAAATGACCAATTGCTCCAAATCGGATATGTTGTGATTTGTGTCCCTATTTGTGTATAGTATATGTGTTGGGAATGTTGATGCTCTATTGTGATAGAATTATTTATGGTGTATTTCATGCCAGATAGTTTATGTGATGATTTGGTATGAATTATGATGATAGGTGCATAATAGTGTGACGACTATTTTTTGAATGTGTTGTATAATAATGTTTGCATGCTATTTCTGGAATATTAGTGTTGTAAAACTCGCCGATTTGGCCGATTAATCGTCCGACTACTCGCTACTAGCCCCCTTATCGAAACGAGTTACAGAATCCGAGTACTCCTCGATCGGCCCCTTACTGAAGCGAGTAGTGTTGTAAAACTCGGTCAACTCGGTGATTAATATGTATAATATATTTAATGATTTATTATTTAACACACATATGTGATTATTACTACGTATATATCTTAAATTTTCAGTAATTATTCACAAAGTGAGACCATTGTGTGTTTTTCAGTTTTTGTGTATTCACATGTATCTAATTTTGTTATATATATTTCAATCAACTGATGATTTTAATTTATGATTTTGACATATATAATTTCCCTAAAAATATTTCTACACGAATTACTGAATCCGAGTACTCCCCGAGTACTCGCTACTCGGTAGTCGGCCGAACAGGTACAGAGTAGCGAGTTCTACAACCTTGAATATTAGATTGTCAAAGATGTTAGGAAAATCATATGCTAGTGATATATTATATAATAATTAAATGAGGAAAAATATACATAATAATAAGGAATGAAAGTGACATTTGTATATAATTTCAAATAAATAAAAATGTGGGGGAATATACATAAATGGCCAAGGGTAGTGTTGGCTCTACGAGGAAAGCCATTTAGTGTTGTCTTTACAAGGAAA